CNAAAAAAAAAAAAAACAAATGATTCATGTAGCCAAATGTTTCTCTCCATAGAAAGTCTGAGATTCGATTGTTCGAGACTTCGATTGGAGTCCATGTGTATAATTTGAATGCATATGCTGTGTTTTTCGGCTCATGAATGCCCTAGGGACTCGAGAAGTATGTTCGTGGCAGCATTGATGTCGTTTCTTGCTTGTACGAGTGCTTGTCTTGCCGAATTTTGGTCAAAGCCCATCGAGACCAATATTGCTATCGAGTCCTCGGTTGATTCTGGATAGTTTGTCTGCAGCCATAAATGATAAAACCCGAAAAAGATTCAAAAAGAGAAAAATAAAAAATAAAAGAACATCAACTGTTAATAAAGCTGGAAAATCGAAGATAAAAAAGGATCGACTATTATAAGGATTGATGTTATTCGTTTAATGTAATAACAAAATGATCCGGCATTGTCCTAAAATCTTCGAAAAAAAAAAATCGAAGTTCCCTATTTTAAAGAAATACTTAACCTCCATATGGCGTCCTGCATAGGGTGGTGCACTTCCTACAACATTCCTTGAAGATCTTGTGGTGGGTGATGGACTCCCGATAGATGGAAAATAAAGTCTCGAGAAGAATGAAGCAATAAACTCGGGAAACTGAAGCCAAAAACAGAATTAAATAACTAGTCTCAGCTATTGCTTCATAACAGAGCCGAGTAAGAAGTAATAATGGCAATATTTGTCCATAAAGTAGCAACTCGATATGAACATGTCTTCAATATTTTTCAGGAAAGATGATCAAAATGAAAATGATTTAGTTTGTTGGATTAAAAACTAATATGAGTGAAGATTAGGTGCAACCTTTATCTTGCGTACGCGGAAAACATTCAAGCGGTATAAGGAACCTGCTAGAATACCACAAATCCCTGGCAGCATGGATCTTTTCCAGGATGATAAAAATAGCTGCAAAATACAAGTGACTAAAATAAGTAACAAACGCGGAGGGAAAAAAAGAAAAAAAAGAGAGAGAGAGAGAGAGAGAAGATACAATATAAAGTTTGCTATCAGATGTAGTTGCAATAATTATAGTTACCTGAAGTCCGGCTAAATAAATGAAAGTCTTGTCCGAGAAGTTGAGGCTAAACACACGAAACCGCGTCGAAACAGGAATGTCAAAGTAAAAGGGAACAAACGAAGAAAATATAAGGCCGTAGGGTCCAGATGTGAGTATACTCAATGATGGATCTGCTAGACCAAAAAATAAATAAATAATAATAATTATAAATTAAACATCGCCACTTTAAAGAAATTCATGTATAATTGTACACTTGCACACACATGCACACTGGGTAAATTTTCTCATTCCATCCCTCAAACGTAGAATCTACTTGTACTGTGTAAGAAGTTTGAATAATCAAAGGATAGATATTGAGAATGAAAAATATAAAATCAACAATCATATGTTGGAAACAAAAATAAAAAGAGATACTGAGGTTCTTAATGTTAATGTAAGAACCAACTGAAGTTGGCGACTATAAGAGACTCCTTCTCTTGATAACTGCTTCCTAATTCCTATGTAAGCTCTAGTGACAAAATTAACAGACAACTCAAGGAAGGTCATATTACTAACCAAGGACTTAAAGTAGAAGAGTCTCTTAATAGAGAAAAATTCAGAGGGGAAAGGGCTCACATTTTTTTGTTTTGGATGTCATACGGACACTAAACTATAAAGGGCGATCTTAAGAGTTACGACCTTGGGGGTCCTTTTTCTCCCATTTGAATGTGAATAGTAACACCATGAATACAGCGATATCAGTTATCCAGAAGTTCTTTTACCCTATGGATGTATAGGTTCTAAAAGATATAAGCATAATATAAGGCTCATCAGTCATTTGTCTGCTTGAGACAAGTTATATCTAAAGATAATCCAACTTCACTGCATGGTCATGTGGAAGGATGGTCCCTAGACGTAGAAAATAAACAAACAACAGAGAGAAAGAAACGATAAGAAAATATCACCACACCTTTAAGTAACCATTGTGCAACAAATTCAAGCAGTAAAGACACGATGACCGAAAACAGGATAAAAACCTGCAAGAAAGGATGGAGATAGGAATTTACATTCAGTTGATAGCTCATTCAACATATTGCTCATTCAACATATTGCTCATTCAGTGACTATTAATGCCAATTAATTCATAAACCATTGCCGATGTTATGGGAGGATAGAAGCATTAAAACATTATTTGAAATGAACAAAGAAAAATATTTATTTGATAAAAGAGTGTTTCTAAATCTGATATATGAACAGCCAAGCAATCTCAATATTTATTTCCATGTACACCATTATCTAACTTGAATTGGTTACGACTCAAAATAAATTCCCTGAAACTCAAGTTTAGAAACATAAAACATGTTACGCCATTTGTCCACATCTGACACTTCACCACTTCTTGAACTACATGTTACTTTCTCCAACAACAAAACATAATTTTGCATATGAATTTCATATGAGAAACGGCATGAAAGAAATTGTGCTAGAAGCCTGCAACAAGAACTTACAGTGTGTTTATTAGAACCTATTTGCCGCTCAAACACACGGAAGTAGTACAGAAGATAGACACCAAAAACCAGTTCTGGAGTAGACGAAAAGCCAAAAACTGAAACTATGAGCTTCCATATTTGAAGTTTCTTGAAAATATCCTGCCATCAGTAAAGATCCAAGCAAGCATGCCACCAATCAGACAATCATGTTGCACTATATCCACATAAAAGCACATCATTAAACTTATATAAAAAGCATCAACAGCAAGGGCTTACATTCTTCTCCCGTTTTTCACTAAGACTAGAAGAGAAGAGTGTCTATAGAGAAAGGCACACACGCATAGACAGTGTGCAACGAAGAATGCATCATTAGGTTGAGCACATAGGCAATGTGCGTGTGTGTGTGAGAGAGATAGTCAACAACAAACTTTCCAGGATGATGACATAAAAAAATAGCTGTATTTATCACCTTATTCAATTATTCCACATATAGCAACATTACCAGTCTCATTCCACAAAAGAATAATTATGCATCTCTGAAACTGCACACATATCATGTAAAGCTAAAGCTCCTTAACCATGACTGTGCATGGAAAAATATAGATCTATAGTCATATAATTCTAGTTGGGCGATTTCTGGAGCTGGAGAATGAGAACTATAAATATGCACGGGGTTCTAAATGATGGTTCCTCGTATCAAACTATAATTGAACTTCTGTAAGGATGTCCCACATCATAACATTCAAATATGTCAAGAGTATTTTGCAACCAGGTAAATACTACAAAAGGTCAAAGTAACCAATAATAGCACCACCATAGTGAGAAAAGAACTTTGCAAGGAAAAACATGCAAGCTTCACGAATAGCCATCAGTTTTCGATACTTTGCATCGATGATATGCAGAGTAGCGAACAAAACCCACTACTTGGAGACTCAGGAATCATCTTTCCTTACTTTATAAAAAAAGTTCCAAAGTTCACATAACAAAACCACATACTTGTTTCATATCGCTACAAAAACTGAAAGGTAACCAAGGAATGCATGTACCTCCACTTCTCAAATCTAAATCAATCCAAAGTAAAACCAAAACTCCCAATCAAAACGAGAACTTCAGCTAATATTCATCATAAGTAACTGCCTCATACCAACATTCCTATCATAGCCAAAGAAAATGAAGATCACAATGAAAAAAATAAAAACTTTTTCTGAGTAGAAGCAGGAAAAGAAAATCCTCTCACTTCCTAAAAGAAAGACAGCAGGAATACCTGATACGACCAAGCGAAGTTTCTAGAACGAGCTTGGATCCCAAATATCACAGTGAAAAGAACACTCGCGATCACCACTACCCTCGTCACCGGCGCATTATCTGCAAAAGGTAAATAATTGTTCGTAAATATCCAATTCTCCCTACCAAACGGAGAAAAAGGGGGGGGGGGATTTAGGTTTTAAAACCCTAGCAAACAGGAACTCACTGAAACCAGATGGGCCGCCGTTCATCTTCCAGGCGAACCAACCACGTCTCCGATCACTTGCAGCAATATATATCAAGTTATATGTATATGTAAATAGACAAATTATATGTAAAACGTCGACTCTCTCTCTGAAGATATCAAATAGTTTTCTCTCTCTAAAATCGCCCCCTTTTCTCCAGCTCGTCGCCTGAGTCGTCGTCTTCGCACGCTTTGCTTGTTTGTTGGGTTTATAGAGAGAGTCGGAAATGTTTAATTTTATATTTTTCGAGCAAACAATTTTTATAAAGTGGTGGTGTAGATAACTTATAGAGTTTCACCTATTTTTACATATATTTTGTCATAAAATTTTCAGACATTTTTGCACTAATTATATAAAAATGTCATTTTAACTTGATTTTTATGACAAATGTGATTTGTCTAATATATGCTAATAATTTGTAATACTGTAAATTCATATTATGAATATATTAATTAATTATTTTTAAAGCTAAAATTCATAAGACAAAGGCATGTCAGCATAATATCGTGGTCAAATTCACAGACGATAAATAATTTATTTTTTACTATTATATAGAATTTAATATATTTCTCATTAAGTTCTCTTATTAATTTAATGGCTTTTATTCCTTTTTTTTTCTTTTACCTTGTCCTTTGTAATGAGTTCCACTCTTTATTTATCAGTCCTTTCCTTGTGACTTCCTTAAAAAATTTATGGCAATCACATTTTTTATCATTGAATCAACACATACTTTTGTACTAATCTAAGAATAAAAAATCCAATGACAACACTTAATATCAAACACTCCAAAATCTCCATCTCCACCTTTTTCTAATTCTCTCTAAAAACATTTTAAGCTAATTAGTTGTTGTAATTATGTTATTATTTATAAATTCTATCATTCCGAAGAAAAACAAAAACAAAAACAAACTTTACTACGACTCATTTTTTAATTTAGCACCAAACATGGATTATTTATCCAAAACAAGATGTTAACCAACTTCATCCGAATAACGTCAAACATCCAAACAACGTTGCAAGTCACGATCAAACACCAAGTGGACATATAACACGATAGTTCTTCCGCACAACACACAATCCTCCAAAGCACAATAACAGTAGAGTAGCATGCACGAAAAGACAACAAAACAAAGTATCTTATAGGCCGAGCCCGACAGTCCGGCCATCTCTCCGGCGCAAACCGGCCGTGTACTGTCTCTCCAACTCCATCTGAAGCTGCTCCTGCTGCTTCTCGACATCTGGATTGTCCAGCTTGGTCGCCACCTTGGACTCCACCACCTTCACGCCCTACAATTGGCCATAGGCACCAATCCAACCTCAGACTCTAAAAGAGGTGTTAGTATTATGTGGTGGGATAAATGTAAAGTTGTGACTTATGAGAGCTTTTGTGTATCAGTTTCGTGGATTTGTTTGATTTTTGCGTGCAAACTTGCAAAGCAATCGTAGGGTTAATGTGATGGCTTACCATGAGTTTGTTGAATTTTTCTTGTCGTTCACGGTCGCCAAACATTGTCGTGTCCCAACGATGGGCAGGCTATATGGAGAATATTGTCAGGAGAATGTAAATCATGTCAATGAGAATATAGTTGGTTTAATCAAAACCTTCATTTATTTGCCATCTCTCTCTCTCTCTCTCTCTCTCTGTATTTATTATATCTACTTATTTGTGTTCAGGAGAAAAAATTAACAATGATGTAAGATACCTCCTCCGTAGAAGTGTTTTTCTTGTTGCCCCACAAAAGCTTTTTCTTTTGGTCAGCAGTCATGCATCCAGTTCCAATCAAGTTCTTGTTAACTGTGTGTTCGTCCAAAATATTGCATCAAAGCAAAAGAAGTAAATTAGTCAACAACAAAAGTTAATGAGTTCGTCACCACAAACCATCTTACACGAAATCAAGTTACCATTTACAAAGAATTCACTGAGTAAGGTACAAATTCTTCGCATGCCAACTTAAGTTGGAAAAGCTGCAACTACACAACAGCACTACTCAATCTGAAAGAACACAACCCCCACGAGAGATACATTGACGTACCTAATTCAGCAGCTTTCATAGCAGCAACTTTTGCAGCATCAATATCAGAATCCGTCACATAAGACTTCTCAGGAGGACCTGCTCAACAAACTCCGATGCACGATATCATCAAAACAGGAGAAAAAAAAAAAAAAGGCACGTCACTTGAGGAGATAATGAAACATACCATCTAGTCCAGCAGCATTGCCATCAGGGCTTAAAGTCTTCGGCTTCTTAGCGACAGCCTCTTCACCTTTGTCGGACATACTGCCAGAGTTCTCCTTTGTATCTCTATTAATTTGCACCTTATGAGAGCCCATATCAACACGCTTCTTTTCATCATTTGGATCAATTTCAGTGTAGTCTCTTGAAGAAGATTCTTTCAAACGATACCCAGAACTGTCCCTTCGTGAATAATAATCATCACCTTTATGATCAAGGGAACTCTTTCTATAATCCGTCCTTCCATACCGATCACCCCTATCATACGAGTCCTTATCCCTACTTCTATGCCCCAAACCATCAGATTTCGCACGAGAATATGTGTCCACATCTTTCACATAATGTCTAGACGGGTGCTCTCTATCAGATCTCGAGTAATTTGAGTTACTGTTGTCTCGCGAGTCCCGGCTAGAACGGTAGGATTGCTTGGAATATCCTCGATCATAATCATCCACACGTTTATCACGCCTAATATGGTCATCATGCCTGTGATGGCTCCTAGATGACGTTCGATTCCTACCATCGTCCCTTTTCTGTTCATCATCAGCAACTTTTGTAATATCCTTTCTCAACGGGACTGGACTCGAGCTACGGTCACGTGGTGGACTTCCTGAATACATGTAAAAGAAGCTATAGAAGTAAAGGAATGGTTAATTACTTTCAATTTAAATAATTTAAATGAAAAATAATTCAGGATATTTATAACATTTGATGATAGAATAAGACATAATTACAGTTAAAATCATAAATGAGCAATTGCGCATATTGCTGAAGTAGTCCAATCCCATTCTCATATTATAAAGCATATTTGATAACTCAGTACACATCGAATAGCACACAAGCTAACAAGCTATTCCTGCTATATTGGTGAATATGGCCTTTCCATTTGTAATAGTCATCAATTGAGTAAACTCGGTATCATCTCCGAGTCCAGTCAGAAACACCATGCTTGTCATAGACCACAAAATCAATTCTAGCACAATTTTTTTAAAAAAGCAATACAATGGGGCAAATAAATACTCATTACAGCAAGTCACCAAAAATCACAAATGAGTCTGAAATCTGAATATTCTAATATCATATCATTATTATTATTATTATTAATAGACTACAGACACAACCAATACTACCATATATCAACAACAAACTCATAGCATACAACGATAAATATCCAACCGAAAATTTGATAATAAAAAATGTTAACTTTTTACTTAAAAAAGAAAACTGATCTTAAACATTCATAGGAAAATACCATCGGATGATGATGGCGACCCAGCCATCGGAGATCTACGCCGGTACTTCCTGTTAGCTGCATCGTTCGAAGGCTTACGGAATTCAGCCTTGGAGTCCGCATTACCTTTCGCATTTGAATCCATGCGCACCTAATTCAAAACCAACAGCCTAATAAAATCTGAAACCTAAATGAAACAGATAATTCTGGATTATGGCCGAAAAAACCAATCATTGAGCCCACCAACAAACAAAAAATACAAACCCTAGAAAAAAATGATAACGACACAAAAAAATCACAAATACGTATGGAAAGCGGCAAAATCAGAGACGCGTATCCACAGACATTTCAATTTCAGAAATTACCTCTCTGTACAGCGCGTTTGCCTTCTAATTTTCTGCTTTGATTTTAGGGTTTGCCTTCGTTCGTGTTGTGACTTGTGAGTGATTACAGCAGAAAGCGAGAAATGAATTTCGACTGGTGGAGAGATAAAAAATGGAAAATGAAAAAAGAATTTTTTTGTGATGGGCTTGGGCTAGAGAGGTTGGGCTTTTCTTTTTCATGCTCGGCTTTCTAAAAGGTCTTCTGGCCCATGACCCTGATATGCATGTTCATAAATTCATATGATGTGGTAATATCCTCCTCTTAATAGGGCCTCAAATGAGTCGAGCATTGCCCTTACCGAGCCATGCTCAATATTATTGGGCATCTGCTCAAGCTCAATGTGTCTGTCTTGCTCGATGATTGGTTTGAGTCAAATCGTTTGACTTGATAACATAACACAAACACTCGAGATTGGCTCGATTATCGCTTGAGTTAGACTGGAGAATTTCAATTAAAAAATGTATAATGAGGGACATTTATGTAATTTTATACAAGTATACAAACTACGTGCTTTAGCTCAAGTTCGAATTTGAAATGTTCGAGCTCGACTCAAGCGCTCTGCTCGAGCTCGTTTGCAGCGCTGTTATTGAATATCAATTTAAAATACAATATTCATTAGGTTTATAAAATGGAAAAAAAGAAGGTAGGTTTGTGTGAGAATGATGGTTATATTCCTTCAATAAATATATATACTTTTCATAATCAAATAACTTTTTTAAAATACAGTTATATATAAAAGATAAACTCATGGTAATAGTTTATCTTTACTTTGTAAAATAGCATTGTCCGAATAATTAACTTATAAATGAAAAACTATAATTTTATATGTATTACTACCTAAAAAATTATTTATAATAACATTTATTTTCATACACTTTTATATAGTAGCTTTTACATTTTTAATTTTCACACTTTGCTTTACAACAACACATTTTTTTGTATCCAATAGCTTTTAAATTATCAACTAACTACAGTTGTTAAACAAAACAAACCGCTTGTGAGTTCGACATGTTAAACATGGAACTCAACTACACAAGTCTACTCAGTTAAGCTCGTCATACTATTTTTTTTTTTTCCAAACGATCGAGCTCGTCATACTATGAAAATTGAGTTTTTTTTACTTAATTTCTAAAGTTTTTTAATATTATTAAGTTCATTAATGATCGAATTTGGCTCGTTAAGGCTTGTTAAGGAGCCAAACTCAAACTTATTTTTCGACTCAATTCGATAAAAAATCGAGCTCAAGTATCAGTAGTTTAAGCTCCGGCTCGTTTGTCCACAACCAACTCAAAATGTAAAAACCATATGCATCTGTAAATTATACAAGCTTCAAGACCCAAAAAGAAATTATCTTAAAATATAGGGACTTGTTTGAACCATATGCATCTGTAAATTATACAAGCTTCAAGACCCAAAAAGAGATTATCTTAAAATATAGGGACTTGTTTTATAAAACCAAAAAATACAGGGAGGTGTGTGAAATTTACACTCCCCCACAAAAGGGGTTTAGGGTTTTAGGAACTACACATCGCCTCAGTCAGTCCTATATACACTCACCTTCCTCGTTAGACACTTTTCACGATCACATTTCTATCAAGACCGAAAATTACTGACAATCATCATGTGGGCTCTTCGCAGAGCTTCATCTCGTTTCGGGTAATTAATTATTTTTTTCAAAATTTCTCTGTCAATGGCCATATGTTATCTGAATCAGTATAGCTTAAAAATGCATTTTTTTTTTTTTGTTTTTGGTTTTTTGTTCTGTTGTTCTTTTGTTTCCGTAAATGACTGGATTAATGAGGTGAGGTTCATAAGCAGGTTTAGTTTAAGTTCGTTTATATGGGATTACTTGAAGCGAACCTTAAAAAAGAATGGTTTGCTATTATGGGTTTATTCTCACCGTTTTTTTCTGCTGAGTTTCTTTGTGTTTCTGAAAATTTGGGCTTCGTTTATAGCAATTAAACTTCATTTCTCGAGTTGTGTGATGATGATTTTTCGATGACAGTGGAGCATACTGTAAGCCTTTAATTGGGTTATTATTACTGTAATTATGGGGTCTTACTTTATACGATACTTGGTTGATATATTGTTCCTTTGAAGTTGTTTCAGAGAGTATTATTATTGCGCATGTGTTGGCCCAATTTTCACCATAAGCTATTGTGATATATATATCTTTCACTTTTTTCATGTCAGAAATCAAGGGTTGAGCTCAGGGACTGCTCGAATTTTCTGTGCGAAACCAGACATAGCGAGAAGAAGCTTTTCCGAAAGTTACCATGCTGGAGTTATCGAGCCACAAGAAAAAATATTTGATTGGTTTTTAACTTCCTCAAAATTCTTTCACACATCATCCGGTTTCCAAAAGTCAACCAGAAACATCCGTTCTTTTTCGTCCGGGGCCGATGCTAAGAGCGCAGAGGAGGAGGATGATGATCTCGCTAAGTCGGATCTATCTGAAGAGGAGGATGGGACTACAGATGAACTGCAGAATGAGTTTGAAGCTTTAGGTGATGATGTTGCAGAAAAGAACTCGGCTGGAACAAAAGCTTCGTCAGAAATGGCTAAGGCTATTCTAAGCTCACCCACTGTGCCTGTGGGCAAGGTTCTGAAGGAATGGCTTGAGGCAGGAAATGAGCTGAACCAAACTGAAGCTACATTAGCCATGCTTCAACTTCGCAAAAGAAGAATGTTCGGCAAGGCCTTGGAGGTGATCACTCCAATCAATCTTTCTTATCTTATG